GTCGGTCACATGTGCGTCCCTCATGCGACAATCGCTACAATGGCGGATGCTCATGATGCTGCTACCCCAAAATCTCGGACCCGTGTGCCAGACTCCCCTGTCGGCCACTTGTTCAAGGACGGACTCCAGGAGAACGACCCGTGGGCGAACAGTGCGAATAAGCAGCGCTCCGGCCATGGCCCCGACTCCCCGTACACCCCCCTCCTGAGCGGTGCGCAGGACCACGAGGGGTACGAACCGATGGTGGGGGACCCGGGAGGCGTTATCCGCCAGCCAGACTTCGGCGAGGCTATGGCGGCCGAGGCTGAGCCGGCGACAATGGCTGGCATTGCGGCACTCCTCCAGCAACAGCTCGCTCCGGTTACCAACGTTGCGTCGGACCTCAAGAAGAAGCTCAGGACCCTCGAGGGCAAGGTCGGGAGCCTAACGGCGACCCTGGACTGCCGATTTGGGGACGTGGAGACGAGCATCATCTTCGCAGACATGCGCATCGAGAAGCTGGAGAACATGTGCGACACGATGGCGCAGAAGATTCCGGGAGGGGACGCGTTCGAGACGAAGGTCCAGGAGTACATCAAGGAGGCTCTCTCCTTGAACCCCGCCCTCAATACACACGGCCTCCTCACCCCACGCGCTCATGACCAAGCAGTCCGTGAGCATGGTCGTTGGCAATTTGGACGGCTTGGGGGACCTTGCCGCGTCGATCCAGCGGCTGACGGAGCGCCTCAAGTCTCTGTCATCACCAGCCCCGACCAAGGTCTACTCGAAGGGCGTGTTCAAGGATATTCAATTTGCCGAGTTTGGCAATACCGACGCGCGCGACGTGCTGTCGCGGCCCTCCGTGCCAGTGCCCCCGCCAACGGCGACAAGGTGTGGGCTAGCGAGGCCCGCTCTCCAGCGGACCGGACGGCCCGCAACTTCTGCCTTGGCTTCAAGCGGGTCCTGAGGCAGTTCGACATGCCGTACGTCGTGAACGTGTCGGACGGAGACCCCTACGAGGCGAGCGTCGGTGGCGAGCGCGCGTTGACGGCGACCGTGAAGGGCCACGACGTTGAGTATCAGTGGCACGGCGAGTGGGCGACGCGGGCAGACTTGAACGCCCGCCCCCTCGTCAAAGATCTTGCGAACACATCGGCGGATCTGCTCGCCCACGTTGGACAGGGCATGAAGGGCCACGCCAAAGGGACGGGCAAGGGCAGCAAGCCCCACGAGGATGCACAGCACATGGGAAGAGTTTCACCGGCAGCAATCGGCAATACTGCAACTTTAAAACCACCATCCTTTGAGAATTAACGAATGCACGGACGACAAAGTTTCACCCAGTCGGCACCGCTGTGGAGCAGCCCCTACTCAAGCGTGCCCGACAAGCGCGTCTTCCGCGGAGGCCGCCTCGGGCCCAGCTGGCGGCAGCTCCGGGTGGCCACCTGGAACGTTGAAGGCTTCGCCGACGCGAAGGAAGCCGAACTCGAATGGCACATGCGCCAACAGAGCACTGACACTTTGTGCATGCAAGAGACTCACAATGACATCTCATATTACTGCATTTCGGAAAGCGGCTACTTGTTCATTCTCTCCAGGGCTGCGGACGAGGAGGAAAAGGAGACGGCGGGCGTTGGCTTCATCAGATCCTCGCGGCTGCGCTTGAGTGTGATCGGATTCAGGCAAGAGACAGAAAGAATGGCATACGTGAAACTGCGGGTGCTTGGCGGGAAAGCGATAGTCGGAACCGCGCACGCGCCCACAACGGGAATAGTTTCGAGGACAGGCAGCACTTCTTCACCACTCTCGGGACTTTCCTTTCGCAGACATCACGGCACGGCCCAATGATTTTGCTCACCGGGGACTTTAACGCACGCCTGCACAGGCGCCACCCTCAAGAAGAGCATATCATGGGGCCGTGCGTGTTTGGGCACCCGCGAGCTGAGCACAACGCCGCTTCCAACCACAGTTTGTTGGTGGAGTTGCGTGAACACCACAAGCTCTGCGTCGGCAACACAATGTTCGATGAAAAGGCACATCGTCAAGTCACCTGTGACAGCGTGGGCAAGAAGCCGTCCGACCCGACCACTCCGGACCACTTCGGCCAGATCGATTTCGTCCTGAATTCGCAGAGTTGGGCTGCCCATTTGCAGTCGGTGGCAAGCAACAAGGATCTGGCATTGGCGTCCCACCACTTCCTTGTGCAGGCGGACATGGGCATCATGGTGCCAATCGAGATCCGCCGCGAGCAACCACCCCGGCCCGACCTGCGGGCGCTCCGGCTGCCGCAACATGCCAACCGTTTCGCCACGGCCTTCGCCGACGTGATGGAGGACGCGGATGTGGGCAACGCCGCCGTCGACGACATCGACGCCGCAGCCGCGGCCTCTTTCAAACAGGCGGCCGCCGCACTACTTGTTGTGCCGCGGGCGCTGCGGAAGCCATGGATCTCGGACCGCACCATGTCGTTCATCGAGAAACGCACCGAGGCCAGGGCGCGCGGCAACCAGGCCGAAGAGAGACGCTTGAACTACGTCGTGAAGAGCTCGGTGAAGAGGGACAGGGCGGAGTGGCTGGAAGGCCTCCTGGCGACGGGCGACTGGGACCACGTGCAACGGTTGCGCAAAGCGGCTGGGCGAAAGCACGGCAAGCTCCGCGACCTTCGCGGCGACCTGGTGGATTCCGAGGCCAGCGCAGACACGCTGGCTGATTTCCTGGCGAAGGTGCAGTGGGCAGAGCGGGAAACCACGCCAATGATGACGACTTCCCTTGGACCCGACTTGCCTGTGAACCTGGGGCAGATCGAAGATTGGGAGGTGACCGAGGCAGCCAAACGCATGAAGTGGGGCAAGGCGTGCGGCAGCGACGGCATCCCTGGCGAGTTCTGGAAAGCGGTCTGCGCCCGCGACACCCCGGCGAGAGCTTGGGCCTCAGCATTGTGCCGGCGATGCCGGGAACATGGAGCCGTGCCGGAATCTTGGTACAATTCTTTGCTGATTGATTTTTTCAAGAAGAGGAGCGCCACGCTCTGCGGCAACTACACCCGTGTGCCTTCTCCAGGCTGGGTACAAGCTGTTTGCGTCTATCCTCCTCCGCCGTTTGAAGGATGCCGGCGCCGAGGGCCGCGTCTGGGGCACCCAGTTTGGCTTCAAATCGCGTCACTGCACCACGGACGCCAGTTTCCTCGCCAGGCGACGGCTGGAAGAGACGTGGGCGAGCGCGGAGGGCCAGCTCGTGCTTCTGGCTCTGGACTGGGCCAAGGCGTTTGACAGTGTCATGCTGGCGCCTCTGCTGGAAGCACTGCGGCGTTTCGGAGTCCCAGAGAAAATGCTGGTGATGATTCGAGCCATCTACACGGGCAGGAAGTTCTCGGTGCGCGACGCCAGCGTGACGTCCGGGACCCAAGAGCAGCACTCGGGAATCTGTCAAGGTTGCCCGCTCTCCCCTTTCCTCTTTGCCATGGTGATGACCGTGCTGCTGCGCGACGCCAGGGACGCGCTGGGTGGTCGCATGGGAGACACAGGAGGAGCTAGTGTACGCCGACGACACACTGATCTTGGCCTCGAGCGTGGAGCGCGCGCAAACGTACATGACGGCTATCGCTGCCGCTGGCGCTAACTACGGCCTCGCCTTCTATTGGGGCAAGCTCGAGCTGTCGTCAATCCGGTTTCAGCGGCACGTGTCGTGTCCAGACGGCGCCCAGATCCCCGAAAAGGACTTCATGGTAGATTTTGGGAGTGTATTGGCGGCCGATGGATATACATATTGCTTCCGAGCTGAGCAGGCGCCTCGGTTGCGCCAGTCCGATTTCGACATTATTGCACGAGTCTGGTCCCACTCAACCCTCACAGCGGAGCGGAAATTGCACATCTCGAAGCCTGCGTGCAAACAAAGTTGTTGTACGGCTTGCACGCGGCGTGGTTTCGGAAGCACGAGTTGGCTAACATCGACAGCTTACATGTGCGTTGTTTGAGGAAGATATTGGGGATACCACACCCATACATAAGTCGCATTTCGAACGCTGTAGTTCTGGACAGGGCCCGTCGGGCACCCTTGAGTCGCATCTTGTTGCATCGCCAACTATGTCTTTTCGCGCAGATTGCCCGTCACCCAGGACGAGCATCCAGTGCAGCGCGCGGTCTTCCAGCCATCCTCTTCGATCCTGCGAGCGCCGGTGGCAGACGACCCCGGGGAAGGCCGAAGCAGTCTTGGTCAAATGAGCTGTATAAGCATGCGGAGAGAATGTGTGATAGCAGTGCGTATGACGTTCAATAGCTCGCGGCAATCCCAGCGGAAGACTGGAAAGCCGCCGTGTGGGGCTACTGCCCATAGCGTTGCATCACTGCCCATGTGCTTCAACACCCGGCTTGCATTTATTCGCCCGTCTGGCAGCGTAGGAACCGCTGGCCATGATCGCCATGGATGCGCTGGAGCTTTTCGTCTCGTTTTTGTGTGGAGCGCTGCTAAAAGACCCGCCAGGGGCGCTCGGAGGCAAAACAGGAGCTTGTCTGGTCTGTGTGTGCTACGCTACGCACACGGCGGAGGCAAAGCGCGCCTCCTTGCGACGCTTGGAGGCGGGCGAGCTTAACCTCGCCCGCCACACCATTCGTCTGGCGCTCCGCTGAACTCTGCGACCAGCGGTCACTGCCCCTGACGTCAGTCGGATGCGGCGCTCACTGTGGTGACGGCCGAGGTGGAAGAGGGAGAAGAAAGGGGGAAGCAGGTCGAGAGGCGCGGGACGAGTCAAGGGGCAGAGGAAGAAGAGCAGAGGCACGTCAGATGCGGATGAGGAAGAGGAGGAGCAGCAGCAGAAATGGCAGGAGGTGGCAAGAACGAGGACAATCATTGCAAACTAGGCGTGGAACTGATAAAACACGAGGACTGGCATTACAACCTAGGCGTGGAGGGGGCGAAGGAGGGAAGATGAGGAGGAGGGTGAGGAAGAAGGAGGTAGAGGAGGAAAAGAGCAAAGAGAGGAGTGCGGCGAAAGTGGGTGGAGTGGAAGCGAGAGGAGAGGAGGCAGAATAAGGGGAGGGAGAGGAAAACGACAACGAGCCGTTGAGCCAAAATGGCTGCAGAGCTGGCCATGAATTTGACTACAAGGCGCGGACCTAGCCTCGCCCCTACCTCGCCTCAGGACATCCGAGGTCGCGTGTTGGTTTCACGACCTGGATCCCGAGGCCCTTGGCTCTCATTAACGTCAAAATTGATAGCATGGATGCGCGATTAGGACGCAAGCCCCTTGCACGCTCGTGTCCAAGCTATTTCGAGCGCGGCGGGCCATCAAAAGTAGTCAAGGATGGACCAAAGAGGTACGGATGCATGGGAACCCTTGGAGAGGTTACCCATCCTTGCCATCGGTTTCGCCTGTAACGAAGAATGTGTCGACCCCTATTCCCGACTTCGTGGAGTTGTCCACTGGGCCAACGATTTCGGGCCCAATGCGGGGAGATGCGATAGGGGGGGAGTCCATCCTCGACAGGGATGCGTCCGAATAGCCCACTGCCGCGCCCCGGCGTGGCCACACCCTTTGCCATCGAGGCAGAGCCTCGTCGCCGGCCTCCTTCTGATGGACCCCGGGGCCCGAAGACGCCTCTGGAGGCCCAACAACAATGCAAAGCTCGTCGTCGACCGTCGAGGCTTCTTGTCTGGCTCCGGAGGCGAGGGCTCCGGTAGTCCCCGAGGCTCCCCATGCTGCAGAGGCCTCTGGAGGCTTCTGAAAGCTAACTCCCAAAGCAATAGTGCCCCTAACCGCGATCATCCGTGCTCATTTCTTGATCATTCACATCCTCTTCCTCCTTGATCCTCCTCGATCCTCATCGATCCTCCTCCTCCTCCTCCTCCTCGATCCTCAATCCTCCTCCTCCCTCGATTTTCCTCCTCCTCCTCCTCCTTCTCGATCCTCCTCGATCCTCCTCCTCCTCCTCCTCCTCCTCCTCCGCCTCCTCCTCCTCCTCCTCGATCCTCCTCCATCCTCCTCCTGCTCCTCCTCCTCGATCCTCCTCCTTTTCCTCCTCCTCATCCTCCTCCTCTTCCTCCTCCTCCTCCTCCTCCGCCTCCTCCGCCTCCTCCTCCTCGATCCCCTCTTCTTCCTCCTCCTCCTCCTCCTCCTCCTCCTCCTCCTCGATCCTCCTCCTCGATTCTCCTCCTCGATTCTCCTCTTCCTCCTCCTGGATCCTCCTCGATCCTCCTCCTTCTCTGGAGGGCCCCGTCGCTGCACCTGTGCTGCAGGCCTTCCTCGGCCGCCAGAGCCGCCCGCGGGAGCCCCGAGAAGCCTCGCGCTGGCCCCGAAGACCGGAAGAAAGCGCTCGGAGGCTTGATCCCCTGGACTCGGGACTCGGGGAGGGGGAGCTCCGAGGAGGAAAAGGTACCCATGCTGCTACCATTCCCTCGCTTTCCCCTTTTTGGGCCTCCTGGGCGGCCCTCGTCGCCAACGCTGCATTCGCCTCGAAGTTCTGGTCAGAATGCACCCCGGGAGGGGGCACTGAGATCCTGGCGTTGCATTTTTACCTAACAGCTCTTGCTGATAGGTTTCTAGTGGTCTCAAAAGAGAGCATCATGACTCCTCAGGGGGGTCTGGGCGGGACCCGGACAGGCTGCCGCCGAGGCTGCCGCCGAAGCCGAAATCGCTTGGGACATCCTCGCAAAATCGCTCTTGGTGCTCCCAGAACTCCATTCCCGGGCCACATTTTGGATGCCCGGAGCCAACTGTAGGCCACTTCGTGCTCTTCGACTTCCCAGAACTCCATTCCCGGGCCATATTTTGGATGCCCGGAGCCAACTGTAGGCCACTTCGTGCTCTTCGATTTCCCAGAACTCCATTCCCGGGCCACATTTTGGATGCCCGGAGCCAACTGTAGGCCACTTCGTGCTCTTCAAGTTCCCAGAACTCCATTCCTGGGCATGATTTTGAATGCCCGGAGCCAACTGTAGGCCACTTCGTGTTCTTCTAGTTCCCAGAACTCCATTCCTGGGCCACATTTTGAATGCTGAGGCAGGCTGATGCTGCGGCCGAGCAGGCTGAGGCTGAGGCAGGCTGAGGCTGAGGCCGAGGCTGAAGGCAGACTGAGGCTGAGGCTGAAGCAGCTGAGGCTGAGGCTGAGGCAGGCTGAGGCTGAGGCAGGCTGAGGCTGAGGCTGAGGCTGAGGCAGGCTGAGGCTGAGGCTGAGGCTGAGGCTGAGGCTGAGGCAGGCTGAGGCTGAAGGCAGACTGAGGCTGAGGCTGAAGCAGGCTGAGGCTGAGGCTGAGGCAGGCTGAGGCTGAGGCAGGCTGAGGCTGAGGCAGGCTGAGGCTGAGGCTGTGACTGCGACTGCCGTTGCCGCTGCGACTGTCATCGCGAATGCGACTACGACTGCGAGAACAGCAGAATTCTACAACTGGATTTTCATCTGAATCTTAAGGGGAATGTTTTCAGATATGCTTCTACATATCGCTGTTAGGTTGCTTTGCCGGGATAATTTCAAAACGGGTCCGGGGCTCCGCTTGTGACATTTTGCGAAATTGAATTTTCTCACAACGCCGGGTCCCAGGGGGAGCAGGACCACGATCGGCGGCGAGCGAGGGGGGGAAGTGAGAAAGGGCGGGCCTTCTCAGAAGGCTCTGAAGTCCCTCGGACTTCCGGGAAGTCCCACCAGCCCTTTGGGCGACAGGTGGTCTAACGAGATTCCTCTTCCCTCTTCCAAGAAAAACCCTTCTTCCCCTACGGGGAGGGGTTTATCATTGCTCCGTATTCATATACACCCCCTCCCCCAGGCGACTGGGAGCCAACCCGAGACAATGAGCCCCCCACCCCACCATCCCTTGTAAAAACACAATGCAAACACACACTCTGCCTCCAAATTCGGAGCATGCGCAGCGAACCCGATGCGGCCTCCCCCCACCATCAGTGTCAAAAAACAATGCAGAATACACGTGGCGGCGGCGGCGGCGGCGGCGGCGGCGGCGGCTGCGGCGGGGGCAGCGGCTGCGGCGGATGCGGCGGCGGCGGCGGTGACAGCGGCGGCGGGGGCGGCGACGGCGGCGGCGGCGGCGGCGGTGGCGGCGGCGGCGGCAGCGGTGGCGGCAGCGGCTGCGGCGGCAGCGGCTGCGGCAGCGGCGATTCGGCAGCGGCGAAGGCGGCAGCGGAGACGGCGGCGGCGGCCGCGGCGGCGGCGGGCGGCGCGGTGGCGGCGACAGCGGAGGACAGCGGCGGCGGCGGCGGCGGCGGCGCGGCGGCGGCGGCGGCGGCGGGCGGCGGCGGCGGCGGCAGCGGCGAAGGCGGCGGCGGCGGATTCGCCCCCAGTAGCTGCCCATCCAAAGACGACTGCTGAATATGCTGCGGCTTGGGCCAGGCTCGGGTGCTGCGTATGTGTTGGGAGGGCGGGTGGGAGTGAGCGAGACGGCTTGCGGGCGGGGAGGGAATCTTGACCCGTCCCCTTGCCCCTCCCCTGAGCTTTTTGCGGGCCCCCCGCGAGATGTCAGGGCGTCCAAAACGGCCTCGGCGAGGAAGCTAAAATCATTAATCGTATTGAAGTTTTGACCACACGTTGGCCTCTTTGGGGGGGGCGGAAACATGGTGCACCAGCCCTCTGGGCGCCAAAATCATTGGTTTTACGTAGGTTGTGGCTCCATGTTGGCCTCTTTGGGGGAGAGTTGAAGGCTATCCCACCAGCGCTCTGGGCGGCAACCTTATTGGTTGTAGTAAGGTTTTGGCACCATGTTGGCCTCTTCGGGGGAGGCTCAACGTTATACCATCTCACAAGTTGATCGATGGCCTTCAAGATGGCCCCAATCTTCCAGGGCTCCCAAGAGGGCCCCAAGAGAGCCCCAAGAGGGCCCCAAGAGGGCCCCAAGAGGGCCCCACAGGCCTCCAAGACGCCCAAGATGGCCTCCAAGACGGCTAAAGTGGCCCCAAGAAGCCTCCAAGACGGCCCAAGATGCACCCACGACGGCCTGAGATGGCCTCCAGATGGCCTAAGACGGTCCAAGAAGCCCCCAAGAGGCCTCCAAGACGGCCCAAGAGGCCTCCAAGAGGTCCTCCAGGAGGGCCCGAAGATGTCAAAATCATTGATATGCCTAAGGTGTTTGAAAGATGTTGGCATCTGCTTCTTTTAAGCATTCCGGCGGCTCAAGGCGGCCCAGGAGGCCCCCAAGATCGCCCACGAGGCCTCCAAGCCCCATGACGGCCCAAGAGGCACCCAGGACGTCCCGAGATCTTTTCAAGGCGGGGACTCGGATGAACGAACGGCTGCGCGTCCTGGCGCTCAGCTGTGAGGCACCATCAACTCAAAGAGAAAAATGAGACTGAGCATGTGTGTCACGCATGCTAGAGAGGGTTCGGGGGGGCGGGGGACCAGAGAAGCTAAGTGAAGCAAGAGTGAGAGAGCCAAAGGGGCGACATAATGAAAACCCCTCTTGACTTCCTTCACGTGCAAGCACAAACCAGGACGTCCCGAGATCTTTTCAAGGCGGGGACTCGGATGAACGAACGGCTGCGCGTCCTGGCGCTCAGCTGTGAGGCACCATCAACCCAAGCCGTTCCCAAGAATGTTTACTGGGTGGGCGGGCAAGGGCGATTATATAAAGACGCGCGCCATTCACTCAAGAGGACTTTGGCCAGCTTCCTATTGAGGGCAGGCGGATAGGCGGCAGCGATAGCGGTCCATTTCGCACCATTCGGGGCGTTGCCCTCCAGCACAATGTGTTGACGGCCAGACTTGTTACAGATACCGTTGATCTGGGTGCACCGTCGATCGAGACAGCTACTATCCTGGACATCTATGTTCAGACACAAAAATCGCGTCCGCTTGCGCCAACGAGCACCCTCCTGACACTGGTCGAGACATCTTACGTTGGCCCCCCGATCTATAAACCCCTGAACCTCTCTCGTGACAAACGCGCGTGAATTCGCAGGATGTTCGAGTATGCAAGGAACTCTGAATTTCTCGCAACATCTGATGATAGACAGCGCAGCACGCATGGTCTTATTGCCAAACGCCAGGCGAGCAAGCTGCTTCATATTCAAAAGATGTGGCGGGAGTCCCCAGGGCTGCGATGCCGAGCGGATGGCCCCCACACGGTCCGCAGCAGTGGTCCAGGGCCCACAGGGCGGTGCCAGCATCACGGCTAAAACACGGCCAGCGGCAATGTCCGAGCACAGCCCACGCAGGACCTTCCGTCGGAGCAGGTCGCCGCCGGGCCCGTGCAGCGTGTCCCAGAATCTGGCTGGCACGCCCATCGCCATTGCAGCGCGCCCCACGCCTCCTTTGCCACTGAAGCAGTCGGCTAGGTACTGGCCCGTCAGGCGTGGTCGAGCTCCCGCAAGTCGACCGGCGAGGCGCGCCCCAAAATGATGTCCGCGAGCTGAGCCTCGCAGACCAGGAACACGTTTTGCTGCGCGCTGCTCAATGTCGCCCACGTGGCTGCCAGGCGTGCATGCTTCTCGTAGCGGACCACGCTGCGGTTGGTCTTCCACTGCCCGCGCTTCTGCACGTCGGCCAGCCGTCTCCACCTTCTCGCCATGTCTATCGAGGCCCCCGAGTGGCGCATCTGGTACGGCACCACCTTGGCCTTTACCTGCAGGTCTTGAAGGCACAGGCTGAACATCTTGCAGTACTCTGGGTACGTGAAGTTCCACAGGCACTCGGGGTGGCCCTCTTTCTTCATCTGACGCAGCACAGGGTCCAAGAAGCGAATCCAGGGCGAGTCTAACTCTAGCGACACGTCCCCCAGGCCCGTCTTGTCCCTCAGGTCCTCCTCCTCTGGAAAGAGCCTCAAGGTCCAGAACTCGCACACTCCCGGCGCTGGCGGCACCAGGCAGGCCGGCTTCAGGAGCAAAAGGCTGCTGGGGCGGGCATACACGCTGACTGCTATCAACGTGAACACCGCCATCTGAAGACTGCCACGGGCCTTCATGCGCCACGCCATTGCGCACCACAACGCCAGCGCCCACGGCTTCCTCGTCCGCGGCGGCTCCAGGCGCCGCCAGGCCCGGAGGCATCTCCAGCCCCGGGGGAGGCGCCGAGCACCGTAGCGCGAGAAGTCGGGGTTGAAGTGCAAGACCCCCGCCATCAGCTTCTCGGCCCAGGAGAGGTGAGTCCCAGCCTGGTACAGGCCGTTCAGGTAGCTCACCAACGCCGAGTCTACCACGGAATCGTCTCTGCTCTTCATGACCTCGTCGATGTCGACCGAGGGCCAGCTCCGACGGGCAAAGTCCCGCCATCCGTCCCAGGCCCTCTGGTACTCGCGCTGCGTCGGGGTCCGCACGGCCTCCCGCTCCAGGAGAGAGAAACCCTCCTCGCCGGCAGGCATCCCGTAGTGGCGAGCACGGCGCTTCTGCGACTGCGCGAGCCTGCGCAGCCGCGCGGCGCCGGTCACGACCTCGGGCTCGGAGCTCCCGCTGTCGGAGGAGTCGACGCTCTCTCGCGCTCCCCGAGCGGGCTCCGCAGGCACAGGCACCTTCGTCAGGTCCTCCACCACTTGCCCCAGGCTCCGCGGCAGGGGTCGGCTCAGCACAGCCGTCTTCAAGAGCCCCGACTCGCCCAGCTGACGCTCCCGCCGAGCTGCCGGCAGCGGCAGCGGCGCTATCGGCGGCGCAGGGACCAGCTGCCGCGTGCGCCTCACCCCCCGGCCGCGGGCTGGCGGCTGCAGGCCAGGCTCCGGGCGAGACGGCGCCAGCAGCCTCGTCCGCCGGCGGCCCGCCCCAGGCCGCGCGCCTCGCCTGGCCTGCTGGGGGCTCCGAGAGCGCTCCCGCCCGTCTGGCGCTCGAGGGCGCCGAGGCAGCATCGCGGGCCGCGACGCCATCGGCCGCCCGCTCGGGCTCGGCCCAGGCGGAGACCCGTCCTGGGCTCGCCTGGGAGCCCTCGAGCTCCAACAGCTCAGCCAGAAGAGTAGACTTTGCGCCGCCAGGATCGAACAGCCGCGAGGGAAGATCGGCACAGTTGAGCTCACTAGGTATCCAACGAATCGAACAACGAATGTTTCGGCTCAAACAGACAGCGTGAAATCGACGAATCTGGACCAACAGGTTGAAACACGAGCTCCTTCCCCGATTGAAGCTTAGCACGACCGACATATTGTCACAGAGCAGTAATTGACGTATATGGGACCCAAAGACCGTAGTGGCGATACGATGAATGCTGCTGACCAGGGCTCGGGCCTCCAAGGTCAAGATGCCCTCAGGGTGCTGCCAGGCTCTCGCGAAACAGGGCTCCCAAAGGCCTGCGCGGAGCCCCTGGGCGGGCACCTCCGGGAAGTCCCTCGCGACGTCCCACTGGCCCAGCTCCTCCTCGTCCTCGGGAAGGCCCTTGAGTTCCCATTTTCCACTCTCACTCATGCTGAAGCCAGCTGCACAGAGCGCCGCCTCTCGAGCACTGTGGGCGCAGCGCCGGCGGAAGCGGGCTCGCTCAGGCACGCGCCCGACTGACTCCACCAGCTTCTGCGGCCAAAAAGCTCTTGCCAGCCCGTAGCCGTGAAGACTGGCGTCAGACTGCTGCACCATCGGATTCCAAGGCAGCCACCAATCTGACTCCAAAAAGTACATCAGGGAGCTGAAGGCGGCCAGCTCTCGCCGAGCCTCGGCCCATAGCACGGCCGCCTCGTCGTAGTGGGCTCGCACAAAGCCGTGCACTGAATTGAAAGCTGACAAGGTGCCGCGCGAGCAGAGGCCACAAAAGGTTAGATGGCCCAGCACCGCCTCCACGGCCCACCCCTTGACACGGCGGCGGGCTAGGAGGCCTCGCACGGCCTGGCGGCAACGCCAGAAGCGATCACTGGTCACACGAGTGCGCAACTGGCTGCCGTCGATCTCCGTGCCAAGCGCCACTGCCATGCCCGGCACCAGCTCGTCCTTGTGCAACAGTAGGTTCAGCTCGGTGAACTCGCCCGTCAGCTGGTTCATCACGCCGCTCACGAGCTCAGAGAACAGCGAAAAGACCCCCAAGTTGTCCGCCGGGCGCGAACACGAGCGGTGGCCCATGGTCTGACAAGCTGGGCCCCCAGAGGAGCGCGCTGCTGCGGCGGCTTACCTCCTCGTTTGCCCGCTGGGCGAAATAGAGAGACCAGCTGAAACCCATGGGCAGGACCTGCCAGCAAGGGTAGATGGCCGTCGACGTCCGTACCTTGGCCCCCTCGACCTCGGTCACGCCGAAAGCCCCAGCCTTGACCGGCGGCAGGCAAAAGTACTGCGAAAGGGCTGAATCGATACGCATTCGATGAAAGCAGTCCTTCACGTCCGCCATGCCGATGTACACCTGCTGCGCCTGCAACGCGGCGCGGAGGTCCTCGTAGCTCGAGAGGCCGGCGTCTGGCATCTGCACCTCGATCCTGGCGAGGCCCTCGCTGCTAAGTAGCTCCACCCCAGGCGGATCTCTGAAGTGGGCGTTCGCACGGCGGGCGTCGACTATGAGACGAAGTCGGCGCCGCCCATCCTTCCACACAAAAAACATCCCAATCCTCTCTTTCGGTGTCAGAGTCCACCCCAGGATGCCAGCTGACAGCAGCCGACGTACCAGGCCGCGGTACTCCTTGTTGTAGAACTTGAGGACCGAGTCGAAGTACGGCTCGACGTCGGTCGACAAAGGTGTCTCTCGTAACATGCGCTCCTGGCGCTCCTGCAGGAAGGTAAGGGCCTCGCCAGGCAAGAGGTCCTCCAGACGCGGGCAGTCGCTCACGTCCGTCGGCATGCTGACGAGCCCTGCACTGTAGGAGGCGACCGTCGTCGGGCCGCCGCGCCCATCATATGGCGAGCGACCCCGCAGCAGCTCCCGGAGGGCCGCCTGCGGCTCCTGCAACTTGGCGTCCGGCTGCCGGCCCCGCACGAGGCCCTCGAAGCGCTCAAGCACATCCCGCTGCATGTCATTAGCTGGGCCAGGATGTGAGTCGTAGCCCGACATCCAGTTGATGGCATCGACGATACCGTTGACCTCCGACGCAATCCGACCCTCACGACCGAACTGCCTCGCCCTGCAAGACCTGCCGCGAATTCGGCGGCCTGCGTCGCCCAACAGCGGGAGCGGCAAGAAACTGCGGGCTCCGCGCGAGGGCGGCAGTCGGCCACCGTCGTGCCCCGGCAAAAAGGGCCCGGGGGTGGGGCTGGAGCCCCCGGGCCCGGGGGCCGCCATGGCCCCGTGGAGGCGACGCCCCTGGCCCGGCCGCGCCCGCGGCCGCCTCGGCCGCCACCGCGCCCCGCGCCTGCTGCGTCACCTCCAGCTCCTTCTGCTCCGTCGACTGTCTCTGCAGGCGCCCCACGTAGCGTACGCGCCCGACCTTGCGCCTGCTCTATCTCATGCTGCTCCTTCGCCCGCCGGTGGACGTAGCCCCTGAGCTCTGGCCCCGAGACGTCCTCCACCGAGCTCACGCCCTCGAAGAAGCGTGCGTTCGTCCAGCTCGGCTTGGTCGGGTCCGAGTAGGCATCCACCACAGCGGCGACACGGCGAGTCAACACCTCCACCATCATGAGGCCGCCCATGTTCAGCTGATCGTATACCCCGCCCTGGTACAAAGCCTCCACGATCGTCCTCAGCTCGTGCACCACACGGTCATTCTGACCCAGGCCCTTCATGCGGATGAAGAGGTCGAGCCAGAGCCGCGGGTCGCCTCCGTGCCTCTCCATGTGCTTCAGCATGTGGAGAGCCCCCGGCGGTCCGTCCACCTTCGCGTCCGGGTAGTGCTCCTGCCTCGACTCACCTACCACGTCCCGCCATCGCTTGAACCGCTCGCCCTGCTCGTCGTAGTCGACCCAGAGCGTGCGGGCGTCGGCGTCTCTCTCCTCCCCCAGCGGCTCCGCCACGGGAGGCAGCGCCAGCTCGGGCGTAGCCGTGCCGCCGACAGGCTCAGCGGGCCCATCATCCTCGAGTGGCCCCGCGGCCTCAGCGCGTCGGCGCTCGGGGCCCGTGGCACGGGCATGGCCTCTGCCCAGGTCTAGCCAGACCGCGGCCTCCTCGGTCACGCGCCCAGGGGCCGCCACAGCGTCCAGCCGAGCGAGTCGCACCATGCTGCCGTCGGAGGCCCTCAGCACGCCGAAAGGCTCAGGCCCGCCCTCGAAGCTCAGGCCCTCGCCGTCCGCCACGTCGACCTCTGCCCCGACCGCGATGCCGGGCCCGCCGCTGAGGGCGATCCAGGCCTGACCCGCCACAGGAACCTCCAGAAGCTTCCCGCCCAAGCGAGCCACGGCCATGCCCAAGCGCAGCAGGCCGGCCCGCTCCGCGGCCGACAGCCTGCCCGAAGCCTCCTGCCACGAGACCCGTTGGCCGCTCACGGCCACAGCCTCCCTCGGCTCGGGCAGGGCGGCGTCTATCTCCAGCGCCGCCTGCCGGCCCCGTGTCAGCGCGTCGGCCAGCTCGTCGGGCCCCAGGGCCTCTCGGAAGCGATACAGCCTCCGCATCTTCCGCGTCCGCAGCGCCAGCGGGAAGGCCCGAGAAGGCCCCGTCTCGGGGTTCTCACAGCTCATGTCCTCCGCGTAGATGTCACCGTCAGGGGTCAGGATGACCCACTCACCCTCTGCCACGTAGTGTAGCAGCACTCGCTCGTGGTCGACCTCGTCGTCAGCGGACCGGCAGACCACGCGCTCCCCTGGGAGCGCTCTAGTCCACCACTCCCGCCCCGCGTCTCCGCGGAGCCACCCCGCGAGCGTCGACATGCCTGCGGGCTATCACCTTCCCCACTAGCCAGTGCACCACCCCTCCGAGCAGCGCTCCAGCCAGCTTCTCGACCGCCTTCTCGCCCGCCGTCACCGTCGGGCACGCCCTCGCCTCACAGGCCGGGCAAGCCGCACACGGAGGCGGCTCGCAGGCCGGGCAGGCCGCACAGGGAGGCGGCTGGCAAGCCGGGCAAGCCACGGCCTCAGGCAGGCTGCCGCCTCTGGGCACGCCGGGCAGGCGGGGCACGAGAGGTCAGGGCAGGCCGCCTGCCCTGGGCCCCACCCTGGCCCCAGGTAGGCCACGGCCTCCAGCGCCAGCACCACCCAGGCCGGCAACGCGGCCGCCCCGCCAGGGATGGCGACCCCGTCCATCGACTATGGACCAGAGAAGCTAAGTGAAGCAAGAGTGAGAGAGCCAAAGGGGCGACATAATGAAAACCCCTCTTGACTTCCTTCACGTGCAAGCACAAACCAAGACGGCCCAAAGAGGGCCCAAGAGGCCTCCAAGACGGCCAGAATGGCCTCCAAGACGGCTAAGATGGCCCAAGATGCCTCCGAGACGGCCCAAGATGCACCCAAGACGGCCTAAGATGGCCTCAAGATGGCGCAAGACGGCCCAAGAGGCAACCAAGAGGCTTCCAAGACGGCCCAAAAGGCGTCCAGGAGGTCTCCCAGGAGGGCACGAAGAGACCGAAATCATTGTTTGCCCCAAGGTGTTTGAAAGATTTTGGCATCTGCTTCTTCTCGGCATTCCGACGGCTCAAGACGGCGCAAGAGGCCACCAAGATCGCCCAAGAGGCTTCCAAGATGGCTCCATGACGGCCCCAAAGGCCCCAAAGACGGCCCCAAGAGGGCCCCAAAACGGCCCAAGAGGCCTCCAAGACGCCCAACATGGCCTCTAAGAACCCCTGATATGCCCCAAGAGTGCCCCACCCCAAGACGACCCAGACAGGCCCCCAAGACAGCTTCCGACGGCGTCAGACAAGCCAGGAACGCCCTAAGACGGCCAAAGAGGCCCCCGAGAAGCTCCCAAAGGCCCCCCAAAACAATCCAAGAGGCCCCAAGAAGCCCCCAGGAAGGAGACCCCAAGAGTGTCCCAGGAGGCGCCCCGGAGAACTCCTCCTCCTCCTCCTCCTCCTCCTCCTCCTCCTCCTCCTCCTCCTCCTCTTCCTCCTCTTCCCCTCGCCCCCACGCGGCCCCCAGGGATGGCCCGAAGAGGCCTTCCAAGGCCACCCCCTTGCTCCCAGAGATCTCTCGGTTCATCCTGGTTGCTCGCTTTGTTTCCCTAGATGTGTCCCTTCGTCCCTTTTCCCGTCAGCTCTCGTGGGCAGGGCTTCTGAATGGGTTGGTGGGGATACACGAAGCGTGAAGAATTGTCTAAGCTTTCCCCAGTGGCTTCTCAGAAAGCGCGAGGACTTCTGAGAAGCAACCACTCGGAGGCAGCGCTCCAGCTAAAAATGTGTTTTGTTTTCGTTGTGTGTTCGATTTCCTTCGTTCTGCCTTCGTTCTGCGTCTGCTGCGAAACGGAATAAAAACGAAAGCGGCCCACGAAATCGCCAACACTCCGTTCAGCTCGAGCCTGCTCGGCAGCTTGATCCCCCTGGGCTCGGGGAGGGGGAGCAGGACCAGGAAGGACGAGGTAGGGAATACGGTAGGTTCGTGTGGCGTCGGCGCGCGCAGCGGTTCTTGACACCGCGTCGATCCTTTGAACCGATCGCGGCCCCTGTCGCTCAAGGTTGAGATCCGTCGTGTCGTATGGTGCTACCGTGTCCCTCGCTGTTTCCGCGTCGTCCTGCCGTGCAGAATTCAACCTTGAATGCCGTCGCCGGCGTCGCAGGTGCGCCACCGCTGCATGAAACTACTGTCGGAGGGGAGAGAGGGAGGGGAACCGCGCGTGTGTGCACTCAAGTATATGGCCCTGTCCCATGGGGCTTCGCAGAAACGCCTCAGAACAACGTACAATGTATCAATGTATCTGCCACCGTGCCTGCGGCACGTTGAGGCGTGGAAGAATGCAAAGGGCTACCTGGCAGAGTTTCTGTAGTCTTCTAGGGGACCACCCACTCTTCGTTCAGCAGACAGACGACTCCACCACTCCTTCTCCCGGGGGGGCCCTAGGCGGCCAAGGCGCCTCCCTGAGGCTCTCTAAGGCTTCCATGACGGCACAGGAATCCCACCCAGGTCAGCAAGAGGCCTCCAAGACAGCTCAAGATCGCTCCAAGACGCCCAAGATGGCCCCAAGACTGCCAAAGAGGCCCCAAAGAAGCCCCAAGAGGGCTTCCAGAGGATGCCCAAGAGGGCCTCAGTAAGCAAAAATAAGCGATGTCCGCTGTACTTTGGGATGGTTTTACCTCATCGGCTTTTCGAGCTTCCGACGCTCCAAGACGGCCAGTGGGACCCCCAAGACCACCCCAAGACGGCCCAAGAGGCCCCTAAGAGGGTCTCAAGACGGCCCAAGAGGGCTCCAAAACGGCCAGAGGGGCGTCCAAGACAGCCCAAGGGAGCCCCAAGACGGCCCCAAGAGGGGAAACACGAACCGACAATTCCAGCCTTCCGCCCCAAGAGAGGCGCTCAAGAGGCCCCAAGAGGCCCCCAGGAGTCCCCGAGAGACCTCCACGAGGCCCTCAGGAGGCCCGAAAGAGGCCCAAAACGGGCCCCACGATGCCTCAAAGCTGCCTCCAGAGGCACCCGATAGGCGATAGGCCTCCCACAGCAACAGGCACCGAGGCGGGACCGACCGTAGGCAGCCGGATGATTCTCCGGCCGTTTCTCCAGGCGACAGGTGCTCAAACAAAGACGCACGTTGTGTGTTGGCCACCAGTTGCCACTAAGTGGCGGACACACACACACACACACACACACGCACGCACGCACACACACACACAGAACGTAGCATCGTGGACGGATTCCTGGCCCCCCCCCCAGCAGCAGCAGCAGCATCAGCAGCAGGAGGAGCCGGAGGAGCCAGAAGAGGAGGGGGAGAAGGAGAGAGGGAGGACGCAGCGGGGGGGGGGGGGCGCGGGCGGGCACGCCTCCCTGCCCCCCTGCCCCCTCGGCCACACGCAAGACTTGCGGATGCCACGACCATGGCCACCCTAACAGTCCGATCATTGAATTCAAAAATGTATGTCATATGTCGGAAAAATGTTCTAAACATGTTTTAAACATGCTTTTCAAGCTTAATACATGTCCAACACAGGGTTTAGACATCTGGAAATTATTTGGTGACATGCTTCCTCTCCATTGACCGTCCTCCACAACGCAAGACTGACCCTGGGTAAGAGTGACCTTTGGCGCGCGGCTTCTTGAAGGCCGCGGGGGAACCAAACACAAGCGCGCAAGACGTTGCTATCGCATCGCGTCCGGCGATCGGTGGACCTGAATGGGCCCGCACCATAAGGTCACTCCGGCGAAGGGTCACGCATACATTTAGGCGACCCCTCCCGTCCTTCACCCAGCCGCCGTCACGAACCGAGTTTTTCGGGTGCAGCTGCACGGCAACTGCGCGCCTCCACGGAACTGTTGCTGCCAACCGCGCCGAGGCACTCGCGGCGCAAGGCCAAGGCCTCCGCGCATCGGAAGCGCGCTGCCTGGCAAGGGAGCCTCGCATTCGACTTCAAAAGTTGGGTCCTCCCCCGCTAACAGCTCGTCGGGGTGAGGCCTCCCTGCCGGCACACTCCGAATACAGCGCTTCGTTCATACCCGCGCCCCACCACACCCCCATGTCCCTCGCGCCCTCCGTCGTCTTCATCGGTGGTCCGTCGCTCCTTTGTCTGTCGTGTCGTCGACTCGCTCACTGCAAAGTGTCCCCTTTGGCGCTTGGCGGACGAGGGGGAGGTGGGCAAGAGACGTATCGAGATGGGGCCACGGAATCTGGTAGATCTCACGGCCCCGGCCATGACATTGGTTTCCAAAAAGAGAACCCCACCACCACTCCGAGCCCGGATTACCCCCTCCTTTCTTGATAGCAATTTGCATATGATGTTGCGTCACCGCCCATTTCACACATAAAACTCTGCCAGCATCCCAATATTGACCCCTCACTCTCTTCATCCCTGTCAAATACTACCATGCGTGCGCACTGATGTCTTCGGCAAAGCTACCATCAAGTGCCTCAAGATTCATCTGTCCAGCCGTGCGATTGCAAGCAAGGCTTACATGAATGAAGCAGCGACGACGCCAAGAGGTGCATGCAGTACACGAACAGCTGGCATACAGTCAGGCAGGCTGGCGGGCTTTACTCAGCAAGGCTACCATGGGGTGTCTCAAGAAACGGATTCGCAAACTTCACATTACATCCATGTGAACAGCAGCGCAGTACAGTCAAGGATGGCGTGCACCTCACATGTGTGCAAAACCCATACACTTGCCTGCACATGTGACCGCACTTATTTATCTCAAAATCCGCCTGCACCCGTGGGGCCATCAGGCTGCGGGGGTGAGGTTCGCTGCAACCTGTTTCAGCTCCAGTCTCCAATCTCCAATGTGCGAATTATATTGCCTGCCTCCAACTGTAAATTGTTACTGCCCGCGCGAGGGGGGGAAACCGAAAGCCAGAATTTTCACCACGACCGAGTCTCGAACTCTAAATCAACCTTCCTAAATAACGCCAGGTTCGCACTCCCGAGGCCAAACTCCATCATATAGTTGTAGGAATCGCGCTACCAAAACCGGAATCGTTTGAAAGTAACGCCAGGCTCGCGACCCCGAGGCATGATTCCCTTGTACATCGCACCAGGTTCGCACTGTCGAAACCAGGATCTCTGGGACATTGCACCAAATTCGGGCTCGCGAAGCCAGAGTCCGTATTCCGTCACGCCGAAGGGGCGCTCCCGAGGCGGGAATCCGTGCTGCAGGTTCCGCCAGATTCGCGATCCCGAAGCAAGATTCTGCTTGAAATTACGCCAGCATCGCTCTGGAAGAAAAGAAGAAGTCAACAGCCCCGACACGTCTTGGCATAGCCTGGCACCTCCCATGATAATATAGTTCGCGGCGGCGGCAGAGGGCAAAACCCTTAAGGATATCATGTTTCAGACAGCCCAATGCAAACAACCGGCCAGGTCCACGCGCGCGCGCACATGTCGAACTCACACCAGACACGCGAAGTATGCAAGCACTCCCACACAACAACACGTCAAAACCCCTCAGGTGTTGCATCCCCAGCCTTGCAGATGCCCTCTCCGCGGATACATGCTGAGGTCGTACAGCCAAGACGCTGAAATAAGGAACAATTTGGATTCGGAAAGGGCTCGATGTTTGTTACGTCCGTCCGTGGCTGTTCCTCTAGCCTTTCTCGTGCACCCAAGCATTTTTGAAGCCACAGAAGGGCATCGTTCCTCATTTGGCGTTCCTTCTTTCAGCAGCCCGACTGC